CCCATAGTGCAAGTATTTGTTCTTTTAACAGCGTTCCATAAATCTAATAGGATTTTTTCATTCTTTTTCATGTTTTCTTTCTTTTTGTTTCTCTCCTGTCCTTCATACCTCTCCCCCGCCCCCGGCAGTTTTCTTTAATTTTGCATACTTTCATTTCCATTTTTAAATAAGTTATGGCTTATAGTTTTTTAAATTTTTATTATCTTTCAGTTTTTAAACTTTAAATGTTTCATCTAGTTGGTTAAATTCAAATGATCTGTCCTCAGGCTCATAAATTTTTTCTTCTGTTTGTTCTAGTCTATTATGGAAACTCTTCACTGCATGTTTTATTTAATTGATTAAGATGTTGTTTTTATGATTTCTTATTGGTTCATTATACATATATATGTATATGTGTGTATATATTCATTTCTTATCCTTTTGGTGATATGAATTTCTCACATACATCCTGATTTTTCTCAATTCTATGTATTGTCTTATCTATTATTTCTTGCATTTCATTGAGAATAGCTGTTATTGATTTTTAAAAATCATTTTAAGTTTTTCTTCAAATTGGGGTCTCTTATATTTTTGGTTGTGAGCCTAGCCTTTAACGGCTGAGCCATCTCTCCAGACCAAATTGGGGTCTCTTTACCAGAGAGTTATTCTTTTTGATAAGCATCATTTTATCTTCATGTGCTGTGGGATAATGCTCTTGTACACTGTAAAGATTTGTCACTCAAATTGCTTTAATAAAATGCTGATTGGCCAGTAGCCAAGCAGGAAGTGTAGGCGGGGTGACCAGACTAGGAGAATTCTGGGAAGAGGAAGGGTGGAGTCAGGAGTTGCCAGCCAGACACAGAGGATGAGAATGCCACACTGTGGTAAGGTACCAAGCCACACGGCTAAACATAGATAAGAATTATGGATTAAGTTTAAGAGCTAGTTAGTAATAAACTGGCCAAGCATTTAAAAGTAATACTAAGTCTCCAAGTCAATTATTTAAAAAGCGGCTGCTGGGTATTTGGGAACAGGCAGGCGGGAGAGAACCTTCCACCTACATTCATGGATCTTCTGTTCCTACTGTGATGTGTAAACATCTAGTGAAACAGTTACCTCTTCCGGTTTAACGAAGCAGCTTTTTGTAAGGGGAGACTCCCATTGTTGTTAAATAAGGTGTCAGTTGGGTAGGTAGATGCTTGGGCTATGATTAGAGGTCAGCTCAAAGTGTAGTTTCTTGTGTGACTTTTAGCTTTGAGTGCTGCCAACAATTATATATGAATGCCTCAGTGGTGTGGACGGCAACCGTGGTACAGCTCCCAAGGGTAGTAGTACACTGCACCGGTCGTAGACCGTCAAAGGTACACATCCTCAGGCTTCACAGAGTTGAGCCCCGATGCCACTTAGTCTTGTGATGGCAGCTGCAACAGTCTTGGTAGTTCAGAATGTGGCGGGACTGTTTCCAGGTCTTCTGGGCACAAGCACAAGCGACAGAGAGGGTTGAAGCTCCAACAGCCAGCTTTCCAAATCACAGACGACGAGGGCAGCCTCAGAAGCAGGAACCTCTGGATTAATGTGACAGAATGGCCTACCACTGGACAGGACCTACCCCACGGTTCAGGTGACAAGGACAAGCAATGCTGGGGTCTGGGGCATCAGTAAATGTTGGTTTGAATTTGTGTGATGAACTATTTTTCTCTATACTGACATTTAACACAGACTGCATCTATGGCCAATATGGGTCTTTTCCCATAGAAAGCAATTTTCTAGTTTCCGCCAGACATCAACTTGATGTCCTACATTCTCAACCAGTCACGATGCTATCTTTCTGCTGATAGCATGAGACTCCATGGCTTGAGGCCTCCATCCAACAAAACTGCCCCACTTCAGACAATAGTCACAGGACTTGTGACCAATGGGATGCAAATCAATGATTCCCTCAACCCACTCCTTGAGCTGATCCTTTGCTGGAGTGACTCACAGGACTCGGGAAAACAGTTGGCTTCCTTGATTGCCAGTTTATTAAAAATGATGCAGACCAGGAACAGTCAGATAAACAAGATGCATAGAGCAAGGTATGGGAGTTTTACCTGTCATCTGTTGGTTCCTGAAAGAAGGCCCTCACGAGACACACACTTGGTGTTGCCAAATGAAAGACAAAACTGAGCCTTGTGCACTGAGCAGTGAGAGAAGTGAGAGTCTGGGTGGGCAAAGCAACTTCTCAAGCTGTCTGGTATGGGACGCCACAGATACAGAGTCAGAGAAATGAAGGGGAGGATTAAACAGGCTGGGTTAATAAATGAGAGGAACATTCATGGTTTTGCGTTGTTTTGTTTTCTGGAGATTTCCTCTGAAACTTGGGTACCATACCTTTTTATTCCTTGTCTTGGTCTGGGTCTTCCTGTCATGGAGGCTAGAAAATATGGCCCTTAAATTTTTATTTTACTTTTTTAGAGACTAATATCAAGCATGTGAATGTGTAGGAGAGAGTATATATAGAGGTTGGAGGACAGCTTGCAAGAGTTGGTTCTCTCTTTCCATCACCTGGGTCCAGGAATTGAACTCAGGTCATCAGGTTTGGCTGCAAGTACCTTTTCTTACTGAGTCATCTCAGCAACCATTTTTTTAAACCTCAATCACATGTGTCTTCCTTACAATGAAAGTTGTTACTTAAATTATGTTTTTCTGTAAATATGCATTTCATAAGTGTATGGGTTGGTAGTTATCTGCAAATTAATTTCACAGCTGCCTTCTGTTGTGTTGGGGGATATATACCAGAGAAGACTGCTCGGACATGGGTTTAAGCCAATAGAAAGTCTTTACTAGTTGGTCAGCAGCTACACTGGGTGTTCAGGGTCCCAGGGTGAGCTTTTAAGCACAAAAACCATGTCCTGGGATGACACACTTCAGCTAACAAGAAAAGTTAGCCAGTAGTGAAACTACAGAAGCCAAAAAGCAAGGTTAGTACATTTAGACACTTTCCCAGAACTGTATGGACTTGGATGAATTAGGCCTTTGTTTCCTTTTGGCCGGTGGTGCTGTCTACAGGCTGAGTTTTACTGAATGGTACTTCCATCATGGAGTCAGTTGTGCTAAAATCTCAGGGCCTACTGAGGTCTAGGGCCTGTTACAGTTGCTGCTGTTTATTTGTTTGATTTGTTGATGGACTTTATGTCTCCTAAGTCCTGATCTCGACATTCTGATCCTCCAGCCTCTATCTAGGAGCTGGGATTACAGGTGTGTACCACCACACGCAGTTTATGGGGTGCTGGTCGTCAAACACAGGGATTCCTATGTGATGGACAAGAACTCCACCAACTGGGCTGCTATATCCCAGGCCACTGTTGTGCAGTCAAACAAAAGGGGCGAAAGTGGGTACCAGGTAAAAAGAACCTGAAGGCTTGTTTTTCCAGAAAATAAAAATAAAGTTTATTTTGTTTTACCTTTTGCTGAATCTAGATCTACTACATAATTGAAGTATGATTGTGTATAGGATCTCTCTCTCTCTCTCTCTCTCTCTCTCTCTCTCTCTCTCTCTCTCTCTCTCCCCAACCCCCCCCCCACAATTTCAAAAAGCCTCTATGATGCAGTGAATATAAAGTATTAAAGTTAAAAGAACCAAGAACTGTGCCTTCCAGATGCTGATGGTGAATGCTTCATTTTCAAACCAAAACTGCATAAACTGTTCCTTAGAAAAGCAGCTGGCACCCCTTGAAAACTCCCCATCGGAAGAGAAATACGTCTTTAGAACCATGTGAGAGGTCGTTCTTCTCTTTCCCCCTTTCTTTAAGTCTTAAAGTCAGAATCAACCTTTGAACCAGAATTCCTTTGTTGTTGTTGTTGTTTGTTTGTTTGTTTTTTGAGACAGGGTTTCTCTTGTAGCTTTGAGCCTTCCCTGGAACTTGCTTTGGAGACCAGGCTGGCCTCGAACTCACAGAGATCTGCCTGCCTCTGCCTCCCAAGTGCTGGGATTAAAGTTGTGCACCACTGCCCGGCCAGAATTCTTTAAAAAAAGAAAAAAAGTTTGCTTGATCCTCTATGCGGTCCATATCTAGGTGTGTGTGAAAGAGAATGCCACCATGGGGAACTCCATGTTGTATGGTGGAGAGCAGAAGCCATCCCACTGGAGAGAGGGGAAAAAGAGAAGAGAGGGGGTGTGGACACAAAAGAGACATTTCCTCCATTTCACAGTCTTTAGGACCCCCTCGCTAAGTTTTTCTTCCACTTACATGAATTTAGCAGTCAATTGACATGAATGGTTGAGGAGCTATTTACTCACTTCTTTTTAAAATGCCTTTAACTTGTCACCTGTGCCTTTCAGTTTTACTGGTGTGAAGAAAGTTCAGTTTTCCGATACCCACTTGGAGTTAGGGTTGAAAATTCCTTCTCCTCCCCTTGTTTTTCCTTTAACTGATTGTGAAATACAATGGAGACTCCTTGTGCTCTGTAGACTCCCTCCCCCTTCTCCCTCCTCCCCCCCCCCCCCCCCCCCCCCCCCCCGCTCCCCGCCCCCA